TCGCAATTTACAGCGACCCTATTGATGGACTCCTCAAGACAAGAGCGATGCCGTTTTAGATCATCCGCTTCCCATGTGGGAATAACCAGGGCCCGGACGCCGACTCACTGCCAGTCAAATATGGTAGTCCCCGACCCATGGACAAGTTTGTCTAACTGCCCAGGAGCCCTGTCATTAAGGGAAAATCTTGAAAGATTTCGACGACGCAGCCGTTGTCCACTTGTATAAACACTGGCAACCGACGAATATGCGACGAAATCTTCGACTGACTTCTGTGGAGTCGCCCCAATGTTCATTTCCAGCAAAGAATCCCGACAGCCAATGTACACTTCGGAAGAGCCACTGAAAAGTGTCAGGGAATGAGAACCAGTCCTCAAAAGTAGTGCGGACATTCGGATGTTACGGTCGGTTTACGGTAAAGCGGTCGACGGCGCGATCTCACACGCAGCCGACAACATGTCAACGTCGGGGCTATTTATGAGGCAAATTTTCGTCTTCGTTCCAATCCCCAGCCCCATTCCCCTTTACGCTGCTTGAAGTGCGCCGTGGGGTTTGCGCAGGCAACGACACAGACTATCGAACAGATGGGTAACTATGTGGCACCCCCCCGCATGCAGGCTATCATAAAAACCTCCAAGGCCAGGATATATGACCTATTTGTTCGTGACAGTGTACTGAACACTACAACTGAGTCGTACACATAGCGCAGTCTGGAATGCCTCCTTTCGGATGCTCCCACTTCCAATTAATCATTAACGCCAAAAAGGGTTGCAATGCACCAGCCAGTGCTTGCCTTTGAATATGCCGAACCTAAGACAATCGTCAGCGGTGGTCGACTCGTGGCAGTTAATCAATTAGTACCTGGGTAACGCCATCTCATGAGTCAGCACAGTCGCCGAGGCTGCAGGTCGGACCTTTAGAGTCTGAAATGTCGCAACATTCAGCATAAAATCGTTGTGGCAGGTCGTTATCCTGACAAATCACTTGCGCCGTGGGGATGCTTGGACAATCTGCTGAAGACAGACGAGCAACCTAAACTGCTTCTACCTGAGCTGTTTCATAAAGATATTAAAGGTAAAGTGGTGAGAATGCATCCCAACATCCAGGTCCTGTAGTCGACGTTTTCGTTAAGCGTCCATGTCGTATTGAAGCAGCTCCAGCTCTAACGAAGCCGCCACATAGTGGAGCAGGCTGACGGGCGTTTACCCAATCGAGTAATATACGGCGACGTCATTAGGGGTACTCATGAGTTAGAAGGCCAATAATGACAACAGGGCCATCTTAAAAACCTCTCAACAATAGCTCCAAATCAACACAGAGACCGGACCAAACACTTTTCTGGGCAGGCCGGACAACCGTTAAGACTTAAACTGAAGTCTTAGAAGTCAACCGACTAAAGGAGGTCGAAAAAACGCGACAAACCCCCAAGCATGGGCTGCCATGGACCAACGTCTCTTAAGTCTACTTTTTACCATCATTTCCCATCTCGTGACCTCAGTCAAGACCTCCAGTTTCACCTTAACGACAATAGAGCCGGACCAACTCCCGCACAACAGAATATGTCATCAGCGCAGCAACTCCTTCTACTTGTCTTCCCTCCAACACCATCTAGTCCTGGTTTGCCCCGATGAGACACCTTGGCAGCCAGACAAGGTACGGGCACCTGCAGGACACAGATGGCAACAGCGCCAACTCATGGCAACTGTGTTCGCACATTTGAGTCGTCTGTCGGCCTGATCGGACGTCTGCGAACCCACCGCAGCACAACTGTAGGTAACCAGCGCCAAGGGACGCGAGCGACACTCGTCACGCCTGTAATTTCTGTCCACGCTTCATCAGTACATTCAGCCGCTGCGTGGCCGTGTCTGTCAAATGCGCCTACGACAGAACCGATCATGGATCATGCCAAATTCATGCGACAAATTTTGCCAACGTCAGCGCTGACAGACAGCATATTGTGCGTATCGCTGTTTGCATTTGTCATGCGCTAGGCTCACGCAGCGTCAATTAATGAACCTAAACTCATCACCAGTCAGCCGACAGGATCGAACATGCTGCTGGTGCATGGGGGGGGGGAAGCCGGGTGCGTCTGACTTCGTGGCACCCGTCCTTGTGACGATTGGGCGGGCTCCATGTAGCATTAAATCTGGCACGCTTAAAACTATCACGACTTCCCCAGTAGTCGTGGCTTGAAAGAATTTCAGACCACCGGTAGCCTCTGTTCTCCTTCAGGTTGAAGATCGGACTGTAATAACGTCTCCTGTGGTCTTTATGACAGTCAGATAAGGTCTGAGGGTCTTCTCATGGGGGTCCGGTTTGTGTGGATTTTTGGATCTGTACTTGTGTAGCGGGGTGTAGGGGTGTCAGCGGTGGGTCCACGTGATGGTCGTAGTGGTCGCTCACTTGCTTGCAGGTGAGACTACACCTAGCGTCCATTTGCTGGCACCCAACTCTCACCTGTGGCTCCACGTAGCTGGGCTCTGCTCAGCGG